GTGTGTGTGTGTGTGTGTCTGTGTGTGTGGTTTGTGTGGTGTGGTGTGTGTGTGTGTTGTGTGTGTGGTTTTGGATGATTTGGTGGAAAAGGTTTTTTGGATGACACATTAGTCGTGAACAGGAATGAGGTGCAGAGCGGATACAGGAAGTGTTTTGTTGATGTCTTGAACTGGCTGCATAAGGCAAATAAAACCTCCCATCATCCCTTTTGCACCGAGGATCAGCTGACACAGAGTGAACAGCGAGCTATTAAGAGTTTAGCTTCGATGCCATCACTTGGAGGATCCAGAGCCACAGAAACCCTGAGATGGTTTTCAGGTGACAGCTATATACGTATGAATAATAGGATGCGCACCTGGAAGGGCGGGCTGCGGCTCCACCCACCTCGTCCTGGCAGGCTGGCAGAGCGGAGTTGGACGCTACATTCCTGTGACCCCACCCACCGCTGGACGACCCCCTCCCTGCACAACAGCTACAACACACAGACACAGCACACAGAGCACACAGACACAGCACACACACACACACCACACACACGACACACAGCGCGAGGGCACACCACACACCTCCGTTATAGTTATCAGTGTGGGTTGTCCTCGCTTGGTCAGTGAGCGGTCGGTTTGCCGTTTGCTTCTTGGAGAGAGTCACATCTTCTTGCTGCCCCGCCATCAGAGCTCAAACTGGTAACAGCAAACAAATGTTAAGAACTAAACTCGGGACGTGAATTCGGGAACGCTGAGCTGAGGAAGCTGAAGGCAGCAGAACTAAACTTGATGAGCTGGCGCACGTTGGGGGGGGATACAGATGTTCTGGGATTTCAACAAATGTCGCGGCCGGCCGTCGCACAGAACTCGGTTCACAAGCTTGAATGACTGAAGCCTCTTAATACTGTTACTTCGGTCAACTACATGCAGGGACTGGAACACGGAGAACTTGGGGGATCTAAAGTCCAGTGACTGAACTTTTGGTACACACATCTTTGGGGAACTCAAGATTGTGAGGCGTAGGAGCATAAAACACACACTGACACACACACACACACACACACACACACACACTGACACACACACACTGACACACACACACACACAGATTGAAGTTGAAAAGATAAAACAACTTCTGCTTCAGTTTAAAAAACTAAAACGATTTAAGTTACTATAAGTTATGATATATATATAAATGAATATATATATTATATATAATAATAATAATATAATCTGTAAATATAAATTAGAAGAAGTTTTAAAGGAGCTAGCAGTTTCCCCCTGCTTCCAGTGTTTGTGCTAAGCTAAGCTAAACACGTCCTGGACTTTATTTCTGCTACATGACGACAAAATCATCCAATCGAAGCAATCCTTTTAATGCCCGCCTTGACCTCTGACCTCTGACCCCTGAGCTTCTTGGGTTTGAAGTTAACGGCGTTTTGTTCGCTATGAGTCATCAACTGTTTATTACTTGACTTCGCCATCCTAGGAAAATAACAACTTGTCAAATGCTGAAGTATTAAAGTAACTAAAGTCGCAGAAAAACAGAAACATCATCAAACTCCGTTCGGGGCCGGAGCCTCGTCACCGGGACTAAAGCACCAGGAGGATTGTTGGAACACGAAGTCTCTCAGGGAGGTTTGGACCCGAGCCGGGCTCAGTGATCAGATCTGGGACCGAGACCATCGGGGACCAGGTGATTTACAGCGGCTCCCAACAGGACTCTGACCCCGAGGACGACGGAGACACGGCGGGTTCAGGCGGCGCCGGGAGGGACGTGAACCAGACTGAAATAGTTTAATAACTTTAAACATGATGGAGAGCGACTGCTGGAGCCTCTGGTGGCCGTTAGAGGAACTGCAGCTTTTATTACTTTAATCCATTAAAACATTTTAAAACTATTAAACTATTTAATGATGTAATACAAACGTGATTTCTGGGAAATGAACTGAACTTTTTTTACATTTTGAGTCTTTGACTGAACGTCTGTAAACAGCTTTTGTTTTCTGAGGATCAAACACGTCTGCTGACCCGTCTGAGCGCCCGCCACTGATGAATGACCACTTCCTGTCAGACACAAACAGGAAACAACCTTTTATACTGAGTGTGTGAGTCTATATCCGGATTTGTAGTCCCATAATCCCATCCATCTTATGCTGTTTCCCTCCACTCCATGCTAAGCTAACTAGCAGGAGCGGCTGTGAACTCAGTGACCTCCACCTGCAGCCGACCGCAGACACAACATTTATATATTCAATATTAAAACCAGATCCACACTCAACCCTTCAGATCCTTATCCAGTTTATTAACAACCTTCATGTCCCACTGAACGTGTTAAACTGCTTCAGACCGAAGAACGCAGCCACATAAAGTAGATCCATAACCAACCTGCAGACTCGTATCAGAAACACTATTATTTATTTAACAGCAGTTGTGTTGAAGTTCTGTTTGGTTTTATAACAAATGATTACGAACCAAACAACCACTTTTATAGCTCCATTTGTTATGAGCATTGTTCTATTTATTTAATATTTCCTTGATAATTATTGATTATGTTTCTGAAGATATTCTCAGTTTGGAAGTGGAGCGGTTCGGTTCTTGTAACAGGATCAATAAAATAAGATATGTTGTATAAGAAGAGACAGATCAGCTCAGTAACACTTCTTTAACTTCTTTATGAACTTATTGGACCAAAATCTGATTCTGAATCTCCAGTTTAACTCTTTACAGAAAAAAAGTGTATTTTTATTTTAGGGATATTTTTGTGATCAGTTATCAGTTTGTTAAATAAACTTACTTAAAATGTTGATCTGAAATATCTGTAAATAAATCTGTGTCTCAGGGATCAATACTGTTGTAATGTGGTCTTTAGTATTCTTATTTTTATTTATATATTTGGGTTAGAAATTAAATCTTTTTAGACATTAGTCTGCTGCTCAGGAAATCACAAAAATGTTCGACTTTAATCTCTAAATGAACTGAACTTCTTAAAGTTTCACACTGAACATCAAACATAGTTTCTCTCTGACTGTTAGTTAGTCGGGTTTTTATAGAGAAGCACAAATATCTGCTTCAAACTTAAAGAAATGTTCATTTATGTTCATTAATGTTCACATTTGTGAGTTTCTAAACTTTAATTAAACAGTTGAAGTTTTGGTTAATTAAATAAAAACGATCTTCCTTCCACTGATGTCAATGTTACCTTTTAAACTTTATTATAAACATTATATAATGTGTCACAGTCACCAAACTTAGAGTTTTCAGGACGTCTGCAGAGATTTACTTCAGTTTATTGTAAAATATAAATTTAAAAAGCTCCTAAAGTGCAAAATAAAATAATAAATTATCCTTTTAGCAGAAATTAGAAACAAATTTTCTTCTGGGACTTTTTTAAACTGAAATCTTTAAATCATTTAAAATTATTTAGCTATTATTTATTTTCTGTTGATCCCAAATATTTAACGATGAGACGTCACTGATTTATTCTTTTAACTAAAATATTCTCATCAGCGAGTTTTGTTCAGATTTTGATTTCAAGAAGAAAATCTGTAACAAAGTAATTTAAAGCTGTGAGTAATTAATAAGTTAGAGAACGAAATACATTAAAAACGTTTAATTAATGAAATCAGGGAAGAACCTGAAGAACAAAACAAACCTTTTCATGTAATTAATGTAAATATCTGAACCATTCAAACATTATTTAACCAACAATTGTCAGTTAACTGTTTCTTTTTGGGATTTTGATTTAGTTCATTTATAACTTTTAATTATATTTATAAAATAAAACAGAATAAAAGAGTTTCTCACGATAAAAAAAGAACTAAGGAACCAGGAAATTAAATCACTTAAACAAACTATAAAAACATGATTATTTCACCCTTTAAATCCAACATTATTTTTACATTTTAATGTAAATTATTAAGATTTAAACTGATCAGCACAAAGAATTTAAAATCTTAGTTTTCTGAGAGTTTTTCAGACTTATTATTCAGTTTTTTTCTTTCAACCAAACTGCACGAAGAGAAAAAACAACTGCAGCTTTGAAGGAATTTTAATCCCGTCAGCGTTTAACGTTTCAATCTTTAGCTTTTATTTGGTGAAACCAGAAGAAAACTCCACGTTTCCTTTTCGGGGAAAAGTCTCTGTGTGAAATCTGGACGTTTTCCAGCAGTGTGACAGAAAAAGAGCCGACAGCGTTTTGACTCTACGACTGAGGACGTTTCCAACCTGATGAAGGATGTTTGTGGACTTTATTGTCATTAAAAAAGATTTCACAATAAAATAAAACACACAGCAAATATTCAATGACTTTAAATTAGAATAAAACAGAACAAAGTAAAGGAAGACATCAAAAGGGAGCATTAGATTTTAATATATTAACATACTCAAACACTATGTTCAGTGTCAGTGATCAGGTTACTCGAGGTCGTCCTGGGAATAAAAACTTTCTGCTCGTTATCAGGAGAAAGTGTCAGTAAAGAAAACTGAACTGTAACAGGAAGAACCGACTGAATCCTTCAGACCTGAACTCATCATCATCAGTCCGGTTCAATAATGTGTAAAATAATAATAATATCAGTAATTATCTGTTAAAAAGTCTTTATTTATTTAAGCTTAATGAAAAGTTATAAAATGCAACAATATTTAAATCCTTTAACGAATGAATGAACTTTCCTTTCACTGAGTAAACTGGATGAATGAAGCAGATTATTTCCTCTGAATATTGATCAGTGATCAGTTTCCTGATCATTATTGTGTATTTTTATATTTCTAACAATCATACAGAGGCTGAAGATCTGTAAATATAATGTTAGTAATAATAATAGTATAAATTATAAAAACTTTTTCGTTTTCTTAATAAATTAAATACTGATCGATATATATATATATATATATATATTATATCGACACTCGTATCAACTGATGTATAAAGTTCTGGTATTGTAAATGAACAATCTCTCAGATGAACTATGTATGAAAATGTATTAAAATCCGACAAAACTCTAAAATATTAATGTCTTCTCAATAAAAGCTTTAGAAA